ATTGTTTGCTTATAGTCACTTGTTTTAATTAAACTTACGTGTGTGTGAATGGAACACAGTGTCCACAAAAGCGAATTGATGATGTCGCTGCTCTGGGGCAGGAAAAATTAACAATTGGAGCAGCGCTGAAGTCGAAAGCCAAAAAGTGAAAACACAAAGAATCCTTTAAAGAAAAAAGTTCACTGGTTAAATTGCCACTTTATAGTCACTTTTTAAAAGCTTCGGACAAGGTTTTCTGGAAAGAAACCGATTTATAATAGATTTAATTAAATAAAAGCGGAATTTATACATGACCACGTCCCGCACGACCAGAAAATACAATTGTTAAAATAGTACCTCACAGTGGGACCCAAATTGTATGCGCTGCGCTTAATTATCAAGCAAATTAGATATATTACACATTAATAATTAAAAACTTTAACTGTATTAAGAAATAGCTCGAAATTATTGGCAAACTTATCCAAATTCACGCAATCGGAAAAATCAAATGACAGCGAATATGAAGAAAACAAAGAGCAATAATGGCAGCAGTGATGTCAACGTTGCTTATTTCGAATAGAAATTTACCGTATAGTACTTTTTTATACGTAAAACTACTATTTTTTTGGTGCCATGCCTAAGGGAGCGGTGCGAGAGGGACAACTGTCAGTTTATCTAACCTTTAATTATTGAATCATGATTCTGACCGAAAACGAAAACACTTCTAGAAACATAAAACTTAATTACATTGCTGATATTTTTAAACAAAATATATAAAATCCACAGTAATTTTGACGAGTAAAAAATCAGTACAAAATTGTTTTCTTGGCGTTCATTGTGACATACCTTTTGCATCTGGCGCTTTGCTGGCAAAGTTATAAATGTCACGCAAAGCTACAAAGTTTTATCTGGCATCAGCTTTAATCCGAAATGGCGTATTAAAGATGATAAAATATGACTTCCACTTTGATAAACAATCGAAAAAAAACTAGTAAAGACACCGATTGGAATGAGTGGAATGTAAGTTTTCAAGTAGTTTTCAGCGAAAACTGGTTTTCGTTTAACGAGGCGAATTTGCGTTCAACTCATGAACGAAAGACACAAGATCACGTAAGAACAAGAGAGTGAAAAAAGTCGATTTTTTTAGCGGATTCTACGCCATCTTGTTTCACTGGAAAACGAGCGAAAAGTAAACAAAGCAAAGAAAACAACGAAAACCAAAATTAGCCAAAATTATTGTCAACCACTTTAAACGCACAATTTAGGTAATATGATGCAACAAAATGCTTTAAAATGTGTTGTCATGTTGAATTAACTCTTCTTTACTTGAATAAAAGTGTAAAATAGTGGTGCTTGTGATGTAAACAAACGCTCAGCTGACGAACCCGCTTCCGCAAACCTTTTTCTCAAAACCAGTTACAAATACAACGTCGCGTTCTTACGTGATCTTGTATTTTTGGTTCATGCGTTCAACTCTTGTGTTCACCTCACGCCGGGTTGCACGAAAAAAAGTTGAAGGGCTAAATGTTGGCTGGCGACCAACTTTGTTGAAAGCGATTAGTTGAAAGGCCGTTCAACCAGAAGTAGAATGCAAAGTTGAACAATGCAAACGCTTTTTTATGGCGAATATTTTGATATTTTTTTGTGCTAATGTCTCACTCCATTTACTCCATTTATTTGCGTGAAATGGTTCAAAAAATAATACCTCTTCAATTAACCGAAAAAGTTAATTTCCGCTCTAGGATTATTATTACTGGCATTAAAACGCGTCAATTGATACCACTCTCGAAATTTTTCGCCAATTTTTGGCCGTATCAAGCTAAAGTGCAATACTACCATACAACTTTATTCGCAACATTGCCATTGTGCATACTTACAAGTGAAAAAGAATCAGAATGCTACAGGGTTAGACTCAATATCTATAAAAAACTTTAAACAAACTCTGACGAAAACAGCAAAAAAGTTTTATTAAGTCTTAGAGTTATTGGCCAAAAAGCTTTAAAATACTGAAATGTCATATAAATGCAGGAATTTATTTAATTCAATACATATTTTGCCAATTTGTTTCTTTGCTTTTCTACTTTATTTTAATGAATTTTGCTTTTTTACATCACTTTAAACTAGGGCTGATGATTTCACCCGGGTAATGAGCTACCTGGGTAGACCCGGTACCCGGGCAGTATGGTAATTACACGGTTACCCGAGCACCCGAAAAAATGTGGAGAAGTAAAAATTAAGCGCATTTACCATTATATACCGCAAACGAACGTACATAGGGAAAATCTTTAAGAATCTTCCATACCATATGGGGAAATATTATAACAAATGTTCGTATCTCAAGGTAGTAGCAATAATTTTACGATTGTAGAAGTATTAAACTGTAGGGAGCTAAAAATAATAATAATAATCATTTCGTTTTTATAAAATATGACTAGGTAAGAATGTTACTCATACGCCATGTATGTAATATTAATGATAAAAAGTAGGTACAGTGAAACCCGCTTAAGTACCCCCCCGCTTAAGTATCTAACCCGCTTCCCAACATTTTTGGGCACGGTGAATTTTTTAATGTATTCTGAAGAGAATCGCTCTTTTAAGTACCTCCCCGCTTATGTACCCAACCCCCCTAAGTACCTACATTTTTCGTACCCCATTTACCATTTTACTTATAATATTCCCCTTTTAAGTGCTTTTTTTAAATTTCCTTAAACATTTACATATTTTGAAATTCAGTGGCAGCGCTACACACCTTCCACAAACTGCGCACTAAAATTTAATGGGCTATGAAACTGTATACTCATAAAAAATTTAAACACTTCTGAAAAATTTTTATGAACTTTTTTTAGTGTTCTGCAAAATTTTAAGCTTATATTTCAAGTTTCTATGGTATTTGTTAGGGAATGAATATTTTTAATTGAAAAATTTTAAAAATTAAAAAATAAACATACATAAGTGGCAAACAATATCATTTTTAATATAATTTGTTATTTTCTGGCCAATTTTCTTCGTAAATTTTATTAATTTTGATGAGCTTCTTTGGCCTAGTTGGTGATTAGTGCAAGTAAAAACAACGTTTTTTCTTCACTGCTTTGCCCTACGTTTCGCTAAACTCCTTAGCATCCTCAGGGGCCAATCTTTATTTTAAATTAACAAACAAAAGAAGATACAAACAAAAACAATTAGGAACAAAAGTTACATTGAACATGTAGTTAATAAAGTCTCAAATATTTGAATTTATCACGCAGCAAAAATATACACTTACTTTCATATACGTATATTTGTTAACATATAAACACATAAACATATAAACACTAAAACATAAACACTTAAAAGCTAGAGCATTGTACCATTATCGTTTGGTACACTTGTCATACTGATTTTCTTGTCACAAACATAATAAATAAGTAGCCGCAATATCATCTGTGTCTTCTTTTGTATTCATCGTTCTTTTTCTATTCTCTAATATGCGAAGGCTCTCTAGTGTGTATCTTGTCCTCTCTCTCTTTTCTACATCCACGTTGTTTTTACTTGCACTAATCACCAACTAGGCCAAAGAAGCTCATCAAAATTAATAAAATATCATTTTTAATTTGGTCCAAAATGATACGCCCTGTTTGTATGTATGTATAAATATGTACAATCAATGACTTTTTAATTTTACTCTTGTTAAAATGGCATAACATTGCTTTATCTGTTTTTTAATAAAGTTTTCCTTTATGTGTTAACGCGTTTAAATAATGCTACGATCTTGGTTTTAACTTACGTATACTTTATTAAATGTTTATGTTTTATTCAAGGACTTATTTATGTAAGTTAACAAGAAGATGTACCTACATCACACATTATGTTCGCTTAAGTACCCGCATCGAGGTCCTTAAGCGGGTTCTTTTAAGTACCCAACCCGCCTAAGTACCTCAAAAAGCTGACATTTTTCGTGAGGTTCTTAAGCGGGTTTTACTGTACTTGACAAAAATCAACACCAGGGTGAGCCGAAATACACAAAGCGAACAACAAAACATAAAGGAAAAAAAGAACAAAAGTCTGGGGATCGTCCTGCTAGAGAACAAGGCGAGAACAAAAGTTTTGAAAACTTGACGTTAAGAATGAGAGGGTAGTCTGCGTGTTTGGAGGAAAAGTTTTTTCATTGAGAACCACGGATGTTAATTCTAAGCCAGAGGAAAGCTGGATCATTTCAACTTCCAGATCGTTTATCATTATGGTGAACTGTCCATTATTGGAACAATTTTTCATTTTCTGTGAAAGAAAAGTTCGTGTCTTAAGGCTTTCGTTAACTTTATTTGCATAACTCTCTTTCAGTTCTCTTTTGATTAACTCTAATATTCAAACATTTCAAAGTCATGGAACGTTATGAGGTGATTGTCCATTTATGGAACAATTTTTCATTTTCTGTGAAAGAAAAGTTCGTGTCTTAAATCTTTCGTTAACTTTATTTGCATAATTATCTTTCAGTTCTTTTTTGATTAACTTTAATATTCAAACATTTCAAAGTCATGGAACGCTATGAGATAGTTCAGAGAAGATTTGTTCCTTTTTCGAGAAAGTTCCTGGGACTTTAGCTCCCAAATTGTTCTTCGAGTGAAAGTTCCTTAGAATTTTGTTTCCGTTTTTTTCTTTGCCAGAAAAATTTGTTAGCATTTTGTTCTCTTAGAAATGTCCCCGAAATTATTGTTCGCAGTTTGTTCTCTCTGGGAACGTTCCACAGGGTTTTGTTCTTATATAATTTCCAATGAGAACGTTCTCGTCAGTTTTGTTCTCATTTTGGTTTTGGTTTTGACGCGTTCTTGGGAACAAACTACGAGAACGACATTTAGTTTCGATCATATATTTTGTTCTCGGTCGCTGTTTTAAAATATTAATATTTTTTTAAATATACAAACATACATACATATGTACACATGCATGTATGTATATGCATTTACAAAAACTAGAAGTTTGAATTTAAGTACAGAAACCAATGTTTTAATTTATTTTTCTTGTCTGCATCTACTCAGGCTAGCGGATAGGTTTACATAGTCGCGTACATTCTAGACATAAAAAAATGTATCAAAAAAATTTGTCTCACGGAAAAAATATTTATCCTCACCAAAAAGATTATACAAGAAGCTTTATGTCGCGTTACCCGGGTGTTTTTCGTACAACCGGCATCAACATATGTATATTACCCGGGTACCCGGGCAAATCGGGTAATACCCGGCTACCCGGGTAATAAAAGCCCCGGGTATCATCAGCCCTAAGTTTAAACACCCTGTCTAATATTTAGGTAGGATATTTATACATTTTGACAGGTACTTTCCAGGTAGCTTCCAATGCACAATGACATTACCATTTCGCCACAAACATTTTTCGCCCTTCGCGGTCAGGTACCACCACTAATGCTATGGTCATAAAGTTCCACTCGCCCCTTGATCGTAACCGCACACTAAAAGTATTCCGTGAGCATCGCAAGCGGACCAAAGCTCCCCTGCAAGAAAGATACTGGTCAAATGAGTAGTAAAATGACCTGGAGCCATGACAGAAACTTTCCCGTATTTTTCCCCATCACATTCTTAAGGGCATCGGTAGATTTTGTGACCGTTTCGTTCTTTATGTTCCCGTACGTGTGACTTTACATCTCGCTCTCCCTCATGTCTTTTGCGCTTAGCTAAATGTATAGCTGCACTACTTACACCCGTCACAGCTACTCTGGTTTTTACCATGATGCAATATACAAGGTGGTATCAGTTGTGACAGCCCGATTTGACACTGCCTTAGCTCAGTAGGCTTATTGGTCTTCATTTTACGGGCTTTATTTCTGTAATTTTACGGTTATAATGACGGCATTTCACCACTATTTCTACTGCCATGCGACTGTTTGTTATAGTCTTAATAAAACACATTTAAGGAATTTCAATTGTACTTTTTTATTTTATTACATTTATTTGTACTTAGTAAGTTAAAAGTTATGTATTTAGGGTATTCACAAGATGCAGTAAACGTCTTAATTAAAAAATTCCATTTTTAAAAGTCATAGATTTATGCATACATATTTATATATAATCCCGGACAAATTAATAGGGTCACGACACAGCCAAGTTTTAAATGTATTTTTGATTGTTTAATCTTTATTAACTTTTTATAAAACCCATAAAAATCCAAATTTCAAACCTTGTGCAAAAATTATAAAAATTTTTAATCAGAATGTAAATAATTGGTATGTAGTGTAAAATATTGGTATGTAGTATTGTACCCCATAAATTTTAGTATAAGAAAGTGCAAGTTCCGAGTTGGTAAAAAATGCCGTTGATTTTAGACAGTTTTTGTACTTTATATGGAAGAAAATACGTAACATCGTCAGCAAAACTCAGCATCTTTACCAAAACAAAAAAAAAAAAAAAAAACAAGTTTCAGGTTGTACTTTATTATACTAAAATTTAGTGGGCTACAAGACTGCATACCAATGTTTTTACTAAAAATTCGGATTAAAATTTTTAAAGAATTTTTATAATCTTTGCACAAAGTTTGAAATTTAGATTTCTATGGGTTTTGTTACTTTATGAGCTTCACTTTTATAAAAAATTTATACAGGTTAAACAATTAAAAAAAATTTAAAACTTGGCAAAGTGTCGCGAGCCTATACATTTGTCCGCCACTGTATATAAAGCACATTAACCATACCTTATGGTATTGGAATTTTTGTGCATTTTGAACAAAGTTTGCAACCTTGATTTATATGTTTTTTTCAAGAATGATCATATTTTAATTAAAATATAACGAAGAAGATGTTTAATATAAGGGGCATTTCACCTCAAGTGCCCCAACTTTTGAAATCTATGTCTTCCGATCGGGATGAAATTTGCACCAAGGTTAGTCCTAAAAAATAGTAGTTATGACACAAAATTTCAATGGGATCGGTCAAACACACTCCGAGTTTGAGGGTCTAGAATTTTGACATTTTGGTCAAACGGCCATTTTTTCGGATCCATATAACTAATTACCTATTGTATTTAGAAAATTTTTTCAGGAATGTTTTCGATAGATTTCTCTTCAGTCTTTACAAAT